TTTACCAGGCGTAGGGAGAATCTCGCTCGTAGCAGAGCATGGTTCGTGTCTACGGGTGTTGACCAGTAGGAGCGGCAGTCTTCAATGGATCCTCTCCAGCGGTGGCTGATGGCGATGTGGTCGATTTCAGTCCAGCGCTGTGAGGAAGTTGGCGGTCTCCATGTAAGGCGGTGTCGTTTTTTGCGCGAGAAGTTCGTGCTTGACAGAAACACTCTGTGGTCAGCACAAAGTTGGAGTAGGCGTTCTCCGTTGTCAGTCCTGTTGGCTGGGATTGCATGCGAACCGCCAAGTAACCTCTCTGATTCGTCCAGGGATCCCACTTGAGCATTGAAGTCTCCAGCGACTACCACAATGTCCGTTGACCGAGCACTTTGGAGCAGTAGAAAGAGGTCCTTGTAGAATTCATTTTGAATATCAAAAGTAGAAGAATCACTGCTGCTGGGGGAGCGGTAAACAGTGGTTAAAAGAAGGGAATCGAAGTTTCAGCCACATAAGCTGAAATCCACGGTTAGAGAAGTTTAAGCGTGAAAGATGGGAAGAAGCGATAGAATATTGGATATAGGTGCAGATACAAGCTTTAGAAAGAAAAGGAAATGGTTGAAGTAATTAGGGAACTGAAGATGAGTATATATATCACAAATCTTTACAGATACGGCTCCTAATAACCATGAGTGAACGAAAAAACAAAGGTACAAAAGCGGGGAAAATAAAATAGTCAACTTCGGGGAGTAACAATTTTTTGTTTGTTTGTTTACTGCACGCCATTTTGAGTTTTTTCGTTTTTGTTCATTTTTGGGATCGTAAACAGGATAGGATGCACTCGCGCCACTGACTTCCTTTCGATGCCATATCCCGCAATGTCTCCAGCCAAAGACAATCTGAATCTTTGGGGCCCCAGTCGGGGAGCCGAGAAACCCCAACGGAAGCCAGATCCGAGCACAATCTCTTTAACCCTCTGCGCCACGTCATAGTCTGTCCACCTCGCTCTTTCTTTCAGCCTGGACCGATGTCTGCGAATAGTGCACGGTGTAGCAGACGTTCAGGATTTCGTAGGACGATGCTGCGAAATTATTTCGCTCAAAGGAAGACTATCTGTTCCTAGCACCCGTCGTCTGACTTCATCGTTATTCACGCGATGCTCCCACCATACGCGGGCGATGTTGTGCAGACAACGGTTGTCGAAGATTGATAGTCGCTGGACATGATGTGCTCGAAGGGGCCAGGTCTCGCAGCCATAGAGCAATACACACGCTTTTTTTAGTCAAAGGGATATGTCGCGCCGACGCCAGAGATGCCGCAGATTAGTAAGTGTTAATCTAGCTTTGATCACGCGTTGAGGGATCTCACGCACACCTCCACCAACTGTTATGTAACTCCCAAGGTACACAAAGCTTTCGACTACTTCCAAAGTATCATTACCCAACGCAAGTGCAGGAATAGGTTCTCACACATCGCCATCCATAGCTATATGGTCTGTCTGACTCCACGTCTGTGCCGAAGAGGGGTTACGCCATGTGGCCAGGTGACTTTTAGAGTGTCTGAAGTTTGTGCTAACGAGGAACAGATTGTGTTCTGAGCATATCCTAAGAAGTCTATCCCCATTATCTGAACGACAGCTATGAAGGCCATGACGGCCACCAAGGTGGTTCTCATTGGGTGACAGACGGCCAACGCGTGCATTTAGGTCTCCGACCAGGATCACGATATCCGTCTTAGGTGCTTTGAGAAGAAGCTCATGTAGGTTGTGATAGAAGG